GGTGGATGGGAATAAGGCCCAAGGGACTGGGACTTCGACTAAAGTCACGCCAGGACCATCCCACCGGTGTTGAAGGTTGCGGCGGCGCAAGGTGACCATTTGATATCGTGGACTTTCCGTTGCCGTTACTATTGAGCGTCCCGTTAGATGTCGTCTGCTCTTCTGGAATAGTGTCCTTGGACATCTTGCCCGCCTTAGCAGCAGTGCTTGTGCGCCTCGTCAAGCGCGTCACGGCCTGTGTATCGATCGGCGAGCGGCTGCGGGTTCGGGCGCGTCGAAACTCGGGGGGCTCGGGTAGATCCTCATCGGGCTCCTCCTCAAGCGGCTGCGGCGTGGGTGTCCGTCTCCGGGCTGCCGAGCGTGTAACGGGGCCCATGTAATCGGCGGCGTCGCGCTCGGATGGGGTGGGACTCGGCGAGATGACGCGGGGCGTCTCTGGGATTTTTGATCGGAAGGACATGGTGAAGGAGAAAGGTGGGAGGGCGGAACAGCGAACGGCGCCGACTACTATGCGCCTGAGAGGGTTGAAGCCGGAGGGCCAGAAGGTATTGGGTATTGTAGAGTGGAGATATTTATCACGGCGCGATGAGCGCACCGTTAAGATGGGTTCTGACGGAGAGGAAATTGTGAAGGTGTTGGGGGTGTCGTAGTGAGAGGATCCGTTAGTGGGATTATTATGTTGTAGTTTCCCCAGATCTAAAAGATGTTGCTCGTTGTCGTCGTGGTCGTGGCTATGTCGTAGGTAGATGTGGCGTAGATTCTGGCCGTTATGTTCAAGACCAAGATTCTGCTCCTGGTGATGATGCTGATGATGTAGCTGCTGGTTCTGGCCGTAACCCTGACTCGGGCTCAGGCTCTGACTCGAATTCCGTTTCGGGGGACTCGGGCTACGTTTTGGCCGAGATTTGTGAGAGTGGTGAGAGTCGACAGTGTTTATTGAATCCAGATTGATTAACAAGGGTGCAACGGAGGTTGGATCCCCCGCCGCATGATGGGATCGGAGATATAAGGTATTGATGACCGTGGCCGTGACCGGGGCACGCACACATGTAGTTACGGGCTACGGTACAGTACCAGGCTTGTGAGACTGGGTCGAGTGATAGATGGGGAGGCTCGACGGGCGTGACCAGGCCGCTGAGACAAGGAGAGAACAGAAGAAATAGAGAGTCGCGTGACACTGGAACTGAAAAAGAGGATACTTGCTAAGGCCTAAACGAGGCTTTTCTTTGGGTTCGTATGTCGCTGATTCTTGATCAAGTTTGGCGTTGGTTGGCTTTGGCTGGAACGGTTGGAGATTTTTCGTCTGGGGCAGACTCGGAACCATCCAGATACGTACCTACATGTGGCGTTCAGTTCAACGAGCACAAGACACCGCCTTTTCCCATGTATGTCTTGAACTACAGATTTCTAGCATGTGATGATCAACGAGAGGGTCTGTTGAAACAATCACCTCGGTCTTGAAGATATTATCATGTAACATTTGGTAAATATTCGTATTGTAGCATAGTTTGATGGCTTGTGAAAGACGATATAAAATTAAAAACAAGATTATATGTTAATCCTGGCACTCACCAGTCTCCGGCTCTTCCGCAACTGGCCTGACTGCTTCTTGTCCAATATCTACCTATCAAAATGTCATGTCAGCTGCCACACTTCAGCCAAACTGAATCTATCATTCTCAGGGACCGTCCCACGTCATTTAGATGGACAAGACATCATATCCCAATGAGCACGTGCTGTGACAGACAAATGCTACTTCAGCCACAAGTTACCTTTACCTGCGCCACAACTTTAAGCTAGCCTCACGTGGTGATAAGATAAAAATTTCAAGAAATGTTTCGCGCAAAAGATGCCAAAGACAGCCCCTCTATGCGCTTTGGATCTGTAAAAGACGGACCATATTAATAATTCTTTATAATTACAAGACCTGGTCTCGTCTTATAATGGCATCGGAAAAGGTCAAAAAGAGAAGCCCAAGAGCTTGGGATGCTCTCAATCCTCCTCTTGCAGAATGGATTCGCGATGCTGTCGCAACTATGGGCTTCAGCCAAATGACACCCGTTCAAGCTGCAACACTACCACATTTCCTCGGAAACAAGGATGTTGTTGTCGAGGTATGATTCTATTACTACTGAATATGCGATTGGGCTTCTAACTCATCTGTAGGCTGTCACTGGAAGTGGAAAGACCCTCGCCTTTCTCATCCCTCTTGTACAAAAACTTTTGCGACTTAGCGAACCCACGAAGAAGCATCATGTTGCTGCGATAATCGTGTCTCCCACGCGCGAATTGGCTGCTCAGATTCATACTGTCCTTGTTAATCTGTTACAATTCCACGAAGCTTCGGCTGAAATCCTCCCACATCTCAAAGGCGACGAAAAGCGACCTTCTACAACAGTACCGGCCATTGTACCCCAGTTGCTCGTTGGAGGTACAACGACTACCGCTCAAGATCTTAGTTTCTTCCTTCGGCATAGCCCAAACGTCCTTATTTCCTCGCCCGGCCGACTTGTCGAACTCTTGTCTTCACCTCACATCCACTGCCCTCAATCCTCTTTTGAGGTTCTCGTCCTCGATGAAGCCGATCGACTTCTTGATCTTGGCTTCAAGCCTGATCTCCAGAAAATTCTATCACATCTTCCTAAACAACGAAGAACAGGTCTTTTCAGCGCCAGTGTTAGTGAGGCTGTTGGTGAGATTATTCGAGTTGGTTTACGAAATCCCGTCAAGATCGAGGTTAAGGTCAAGATGAAGGATGGTGGAATTCTTGAAGACAGAAAAACACCTGCCAGTCTTCAAATGGCATATATGGTCAAGCCTGCTAGTCAAAAACTGCCTGCTTTAGCAGAACTTCTCCGACAGTTACCTATAAAACCCCAACGAAGCATTGTCTTCCTATCAACATGCGCTGCTGTCGATTACTTTCAGCACGTTCTACCTGCGATCCTACCAGAAGGTTTTGCGTTGGTACCTCTACATGGAAAACACCCGGCCAAGGTACGGGAGAAGAACTTTAATCGCTTTTTGAACTCTGTTGCACCCACAATACTACTTACAACCGATCTGGCAGCTCGTGGATTGGATATTCCCCAGGTCGACTTGGTGGTTCAGATCGATGCTCCATCGGATCCCAAGGCGTTTATCCATCGTAGTGGAAGAGCTGGCCGTGCAGGCCGAAAGGGCTTAGCGGTGGTCATGTTACACCCCGGGCGAGAGGAGGACTACGTTCAGTTTTTGGAGATTCGCAAGACACCAATTGCAAAGCTTGAGAAGCCAACTGTTTTCACATCAGAGGAGGATGCCGTGGCGGCCACGAAGAAGATGAGGGATCTAGTGTTGACGGATAGGGCACTATTCGACAAGGCTCAGAAGGGATTTGTGAGCTGGGCTCGAAGCTACGGCGCTCATCAGGCTACATCTATTTTCCGTGCAGCTGATCTCGATTGGGCTGATCTCGGAAATGCATGGGGACTGCTTCGCATGCCCAGGATGCCTGAGCTCAAGAGCTGGAAAGGCGACAAGATGTGCGGTCTTGAGATTGACTGGGACACATACGCCTACAAGGAGAAGACACGTGAACAAGCACGAAAAGCCGCCCTTGAGGAAGAAAAGTCCGGTGAGAAGAAGGACAAGAGCGATGAGACGAAGCGAAAGCGAAAGAACAACGAAGCATGGAGCGCTAAGCACGAAAAGGAGGATGAGAGAGTCGAGCGCAGGGAGAAGCGACGTAAGCGTCGTGAGGCTGAGGCTACATCTAAGATGACGGACGACGAGAAGGTCAAGCAGATGGAGCTAAAGGAACTCATCGCCGAGGTCCGGAGACAGAACCGCGAAAAGGCTGCTGCTGAAGCTGCGGCGGCTAAGAAGGATGAAGATGATGAGTTTGCAGGCTTCGATGACTAGACGAGATAGGAATATACCCCGTTTTTGGCTAAGATGTTCTGGGTTTGGTGTACCTGAGGGTAAGGCAGAATTGATGTCTTTTGGAGTAATTTGTATGAGGACGACGTGGACATTGCGTGGCTTGGTTGTGAGAGCATGGGTGATTTATAAGACGTTGGTGACTATACGCGTATAGATTTAGGGATGAATACGAAAATTGAAGCTGAATCCGATGAACGCGTATTTCATTCCTTCAAAAATGAGCCTTGAATGTTTTTACAGAGCTTCCTAGGGATTAAGGACAAAAGTAACTGAACTGTATAAGCCCTCTGCTTAATAGGGACCAAAACCAACTCTTCTCCATCTCTGTAGGGGCAATACTTAATGGCTTCGTTCCTGGTGTTGTGATATGACAGCGGCAGTCCGGCATATACTGTCTTGGCATCACCACTACAAAGGTAAGATACCGATTGGAGGAACGGAAATATGAGGTCAAAACATTTCTAAAACGGTTTAAGTTTATTTAAATCATCAGTTACCTACCTTACGCAATAGTCCACGTAACGTGGCTCCCTTGTAACCCTTCTAGTTATTACTGTAAGGCTGATACAGAACGAGCTTCTATTTCGAGGTCGACAGAACGGTTGGTTCCGAAAGCGACTGCTCGTCATATCACCAGTTTCGAGTCTAAACCACTAAATGCTCTTGATAAATTGGTTATGTCTTCATGCATTCCTATTCAGAAGATGGGTCGTGTCTAACTAATCAGACCTTCTCACTTACCTTGGGCTGTCCACTTGCATGACTAAAGTTGTTGACAGTTTCGGAATTATACTAACGTCAACACTCCGCTTTGACAACAACACGTCCATTGATGATCACCGAAGCCACAAGAAAAACAGACCCTTCACTGGGGCAATACGACGAGGAATACGACAAAGTCTCCGAACTAAGCTCTCGACCAATCAGGACCCTTCAATTAAAGCAAAAGCACATCCGTACTACCTAGTCAAAACAGACAACCTACCATGACTTGCGCCTGCTGATCGAGAACAATTCTTTCGCCCCCCTGATCATTCTCACTCCCCTACCTCAACTATACTTACTCACTTCTTCGGATGCCTCCGAGAAACTCCGGCTCCGGTTCCGGCTCCGGCGCCGCTACCGCCAAGCTCCGACGGGCACATCGCAAGTCCCGGAATGGCTGCTGGGAGTGTAAGAGGCGACATATCAAGTGCGATGAGAATCGTCCTGCGTGTAGTAACTGCGTCATCAGTGAGAGAACATGTTCATTTCCAGCACCGCCGACTCCAGCAGCGGCACCAACTCCGCCACCGCAGCCAGAGCAGTCTGTATCTTGTTTCAATGAACCTCTGAGGACTTCGAGTGCTAGTCAGGTTGATAGCCCTGCTGATAGCATCTCAAGCGCCGGAGCTTCACATCGGCCTTCCTCAATACCGCCTCCGTCATATCTTGCGCCAAATTCTGGCTTCTCATCAAATTATGATGATGGCGCACAGTCGACTTCTCTACCCTCCTTCACAGAGTCATTCGCGGCCGCGGACTTATCCGAATCACCTCCTTCAATTTCACTGCCAGACGCTCTTCCTACGCCAACCTTTACCAACAAGCACCTCATCCTATTACACCACTTCCGCAAATCTCTACTATTCGATGTTGAAAAGGTCGACATCATCATGGACCTAGCCCTCGATTGGTCATCAGAAGCTCCTTACGCCATAGACCAACTCCTCGCTATATCAGCGGATCACCTCGCCATGACGCACCCTGAAAGCGCAACTTCATGGCGACGGACTGCTACAGAGCTACAGACTCGAGCTCTCACACACTTTAACAGGGACAGCCAAGACACAACCAATCACGAGTCTCGCTTCGTTCCTCGTTTTCTATTCTCGTCCTTGCTAAGCTTGCATATGCTGTACGACACACTCACACAGTATCGAGCCACCTTTCACGTCTTTATAGAAAGATTCTGTAACTCTGTTTGCCTTCACCGCGGCGTGAAATCAACTTCCTCGCCAGGCTATCAGACTCTTATCAAGTCTCCTTTAGCGCCATTCTTTCTCGGTGTCAGAGACGCAGCAGAGCTCGGTGATAAGGGTGATGAGTGTGCTCCTCTCATAACTCTCATCGAAAACTCTGATTTGAGTCCATCAGCTGTGGAAGCCTGTAGCACAGCCGCTCATACATTACAATGGGCTTTCAATGTTCACAGGAATTTGCCAAAGAGCGTAAACGTACAAGCTGCCTCGGCATTTCCGGTTGTGTTGAGCGATAATTACATAGAGCCTGTTCGAAAGCACCGACCAGAGGCATTGCTCGTCTTGGCTTATTACGGTGTTCTTCTCCACCGATGTCGACATGTCTGGCTGTTCGGCGATTCAGGCGCGTTTCTGATACATTTGATTGCGGACCATCTTGGAAGCTATTGGAAAGATGCTTTGCGATGGCCACTTGAAGAGTTGGAAAGAGATCAAGGATGAGAGGATTGGAGGAGAACAAGGTTCTAGTCGTATATTGATGATGTTCAAAGCGAAGACATCAACGTGCCTCCATAAGAGCGAACGATATGCGCAACTCTTTGAAGCACGAAATTTGAACATGTCGGAGCCCACGAAAGATGCTGCCGGTCTTGGGCTACCAATCTCGTTGCTCGCTCTACGACAATCACATTAAGGCTTCAGGCTTCAGGCTTCAGAGCTGCAAAACGCGCATAGGCCGCACCGCCATCCCAAGGGCCTATTCTGTCAAGCGTCAAGATATGAAATCTCAAGGACATGATCCTTTGGAAATCCGTCCGTGGTGCTGTCAAACGACGGCGAAGGTGAAGCTGACCTAGTTCAAGCTTGGCCCAAGTTATGATAAACTTAGAGGAGAAGAGAAGGACTCCAGGCTTTTTTTATATCTATTCTTGGGATTTAATCTATGCCTGCAGATGTCATATTTAAGATAGAGCGGCTTTGGTGGCAGGAAAAGATACCATTTCGAGGGACGGTGTTTAAAAGTCTGTCAATAAACAAGTCAAATACTTCACAAACGCTTCCATCTGTGTGACAGTTCCATCAACACCAGTGAGCCTAGGTCTCAAGCCCTCCACGAGTAAGAGTACACACACAATTGAAGAATGCTATCTCATTTTCTCTGTACGATTATCCATAGTGTAAGCTATAACGATATTTACATGAGCCCAGCCTATTTCCCCTCCTGCAGACACAATACAATACTCTGAATCTTTGCATGACAATTCTCTTTATTTTATTCATAAAAAGGCGGAATGGTAATAGCTCGAGCGTTAACGTCGTCAAATCAAAAGTCAAACAACCGACAGCAGCGAAAACTTCAACCAGGGCTCCTTGGTCTTTTTCTCTCTCTTTGTTTTTCGAAGTTCCTCCCTTGAGACTTCCAAGGGCAGGATGAATCCAGACAAGGTTTTTTTTTTTTTGCGCCGGGCAAGGCGGATGGCCACTCTTCTATGGAAGGAATATGGTATCATAACAGGAAGGAAATTGGGCGTGGACGAGATGTCAAGACATGCATGGGATGGAGGGAAAAGTCGTTGGGTCGCAACTTGAGTGCAACCCCTTAGAGACCGTAAAATTCCCAACCATCACCAGCCGCATCCGTCGGTCCCGCTTCATCGGCGGCTTTGGGCGCAAATTCAGTCCGTAGTTCTTCGTTGAGTCATAGCTCCTCATCGTCCAGCTCAGAGGGCTTGAGAAGACCGCCAACCTTCTGTCGTCGTTCCATGTCAGCGGCTTTAGCGTCCTGCTCTTGTTGTTCCTTTTCGACGATGAAGAGCTCAGCGTTGTCACCAGCAAACTCCTTGAGAGAGACGAGGAAATCACGAAGGTTGAGTCGGAACTTATCGTACTGCGTGTTAAGCGTGAACAGGCCTTCGACAAAGCTTGTGATTTGGTTCCTGTTTACTTGTTAGCTTAGTGGCATAAAGAATAGAGGTGAGACGTACGCTTGCAGGTTGCGGAAGGCGTTTTGCAGAAGGTTAGCTACGAAGTTGGCAACAAACTCTCGGTTGTCAGTTCCGGCTTGCGCCTGATCGGGGCTATAGATAGGTCCCTGGATCTTAGGCTGAGACCCATCGGCGGGGTTGATATAATAGAAGAGCTTCATCAACAACATGGATTGTGTCTTGAAACCAGCCTTGTGATCGTTGTCGGTCACAACGAAGAACACATCTTGAAGGATGGTGATGAAGAATCGCTGGAAGAAGGCGTTGGCGGTCTGCACATCTGTCTTCTCAGCGATGTTGTTGATCAGCTCCAGAGCCATGTTAAGACCAGCGGCCTCGACATCTCGGTTGTCGTGCTTGAAAGCCCATGAGCATGAATCGATAACAAACTTGAATTGGTTGTTGTCGAGCTTGAGCAGAGCAGGGAAGCAGTGCAGGTTGATGGCTCGGAGGAGGTTGAAGAACTCGACACGGTGCTCGGGGAACTCAGAGAAGTCCTTGTTGATCATCTCCAGGGTGCACTCGAAAACGTTCTGCATGATAGTAGGGACTTGGTCCTCCATCAAAGCCTGTTACTCGTTAGTATGAATCCTGCGATATGATTGAGGGAATACTGACAGAAAGCTTGGTGATAATAGTAGAGCAAGCCTTGAGCACCTCGGCATCTCGGGCGCCAGGGACGTTGCGGTTGTAGTCAACAAGAACAGATTCCAGCAGAGGAGGGACCATCTGGGCACGGACAGCCTGAAGATCCTCTGCCTTGTCAACGTACACCTCAATGAGCTTGAGGATCTCTTTCTTGATGGTTCGAAGACCTCGGACCTTGGGCATCTTGGTAGCGAGTTCACCATCGCGAGCCACAGCCTCGGAGATCAGTGTACTTGTGGCGTTGTACATCTGAAGCATGTCATGGTAGATGCGGCCGATCTGGGGGTAGAAATAGGACCCCACAGATGAGCAAGCAGACACATTCGTCTTCATGATGTTTCCAATAACCTTGATAGTCTCGGCATCCTGGAGAATAGTTGGGTTCACTGTAGCCTGCTTTATAATCTCGTCCCAGGCTGCGTTAGGGATAGCCATCAGGTCGGCAAGAAGTCTCTCCTGCTGGTGCTTGTTGCCCTGAGCGGCAACCATGTAACCGCAGGCCTCATAGAAGGTGTGCACTTGTTGAGGTGTCAAATCGCATGTGATCTTGCCCATGTTTCGAACAATCTCCTCAATGAACGGCTCCTGCTCGCTGGGCTGCAGGGCTACAAAGTGACGTCGGCACTGACGGGCGATCTTAATGAAGGTATCGCAGGCCATGTCCTGGACACCTAAATCAAGGTTGATTAGCATTTTACAAATCCAGGTCAAGCCGTTATCACCTACCTTCGTGTGACTCATGCATAAACTCGAACAGCTTATTGACGACTGTCTTAAGGAACTTCCAATGAGCCTTGAGGAAGCGGGGGTACTGTCCGACGATGTACATAATGTTACTGGCGACAACGGCCTTGTTGTCTTTGCCTCGCTTCATCTCAGTAAGACCGAGGAGGTCCTTAATGACAGTAACAAGGAACCTCTTCTCTGTCTCTTCGTTCATCGCCAAAGAGATCGAGCCGATAGCCCAGCAAAGAACGTTGCAGTTGTGCCAAGACCACTCGCTTCCGTCGACCTGTCGAGCGAGCTTCTCGGTCATGATGTTTTCTGTGTCGACCACGTCCAAATGTGTCAGGTAGACCAGGCACTCTCGAATCGTCTTGTAAAGCTGTACCGTGTCACTCTCCTTGACGAATTCTCGGACGATTTCACCCTCGTCGTTCTCAACAATCAAGACTTCCTCGGGACGGACCATCTTCTCGATCATAACGACTCGAAGGTTCGAGAGGACCTCGTTGTATTTGTGCTTTCGGAGAGGGTAGTTGTTGAGCATCGTAGGGTTCGGGGCGCCGCTGCCAGACATTCCTGCGCCAACTGCCATAAGAGGGTTAAGGTCGGTCATGGGGAGCTGCTGCATCTCCTCGTAAAGCTCTTGGACAAGCTTGAGCCAATAGTCGAGGCAAATCTTGAAAATTTCTCGATCATCGATCTGCGATATCCTAATAAGATAGTAGTGACCGTGAATGAGGAAATCGCGGTTGGGGAGTTTCTCGATAAGCTATCACAATCATGTTAGACCACCCGAATGTCCAGTACAGCATAAAACCTACGTTCAAGTGCATTCCGAAGAAATTGCAAAGGAAGAGAGCCAGGTTTTGTATAAACTCCTGATCCCTCGAGTTGCTGCTTGGATATGTGCTCTTGAGATCAAGAGAAACCGGAATGATGTTAGCAATGGTAGTTAAGGTCTCGGTGAACATCTTAACAAGCTGCTCGTCGTAAGAGTTGGGCTGGCCGGGGCCTCCAGTCTGAAGACCACCAATCTCAGTAAGGCACTGCATGGTGACGTTGCGGAACTCGGGGGTCGAGAGGAAACGGGTTCGCAGTGTCTCGATGAGCGGTGTCTCGAAGATGTATCCCAGGGGGATCCAGTTGCAAAATCGCAGAAGAGTCTCGAGAGTCGCCTTGATCAGACTAGGCTGGGTAGCCGTGTTGAGGACCTCCTGGCAGAGGTTGAAGATTTGCGAGAACTCGGCGCACATGGTCTGCTTGAGGTTGCGTGTCTTGGTCGATGTCATCTGCTCGGCTGAGTAGTCGAAAACTTCCTCCGAAAGCAAGCGAAGAATAATCATGTTGTTCTCGCAGATGGATAGGTTGGAGTGGCAGGACGAGATGATTTCGTTGATAAAGGTAGGCCAGTTGTGAGGCCACTCCTGCTTGAGTACGGAAACGAGGACGAGGTTAAGCTTGTTGAGCAAGGTCTTTTGCTGGCGCAGCGACTCTTCGGTGCTTGAGCACTGGATAATGAACTGGACGATGAAGTTTCGAATTCCTACAAGTTACAAGTCGTCAGAGTTGGTTCTAAGCTGTTATCGCGGTGAGGACGGACCTTGGCACTGCTCCCGAGGGAGGACCTTCCATCTCGTCAAGATCACATTGTCCAGAACCTGCAGACCCAAGTCTGTCAAAATTTGTTAGTCGAGTGGATTCACAATTGAAGTATTCGCATAGATCGAAGGGAAGAGAGCTGGCTTGAATGCAGCACAGCGTAGGAAGTGGCGCAAAGCCGAGGCTACACACATTTGGTTTGAGGGTACTGCGCATCCGAGAGGATCTTGTCGACCATGAGCCAGGCATCGGGGTCTTCTTTGAACTGCAGCTCAAGTCAGTAAAAAGCTCTTCTCGAGCCGAGAGCTAGATTTGTACGAACCTGGTTGAGAGCAGCTTGGGCGGCTTTTTGCTACACGGTTAACAAGGCGGAGTTAGCTATCGTTCCTCACTCATGTCGACGCGCGGGGTCCACGGTTGTAAAAACCGACGCCCAGAAGACTACCTACCTGCTCACCGCGCCCCTCGTAGAAGGAGCGGACGAGGACGTCCAGCTCTTCAATGGAGGCGGCCATTTCGTGTGGTTATTTCGGGTTCACGAGAGGATCGTTACGAGGTGGGAGAGAAGGTTGGCGGTGGTGGTTGTGGTGGGCGAACGAGACGAGGTGAGGCGGGGGGGGAGAAGATCCAAGCAAATACCAGCCCCAGGCAGATATAGATCAGAGAAGCAGTGGCGCAGCTCTCTATAATAAGAGGAGAGATAGAGAGAGGGGGATATGGCGATGTGAATATTGTCGAGGTTCGCGTGGGAAAAATGAAAAAGAGGAGAAATGCAAAGTTCGGCTTTGGTAAAAGCAAACTAAGGCAAGGCAAAGTGGACGACGTCGGTGAGGTGAGGTGAGGTGTGAAGAGATGGTCTGGACGGCTTGAAGTGGACGAGAGTGGAGTTGAAGGGGAGCAAAAGCACTGTGAATACAGTACCTTTAGTGGAGTACCGAGCACAGAAATGCCCCGCAGCGCAGCCTGCGTCACTACGCTACGCTACGGTTAGGTAAGGTAGTTTCCAGTAACCACCAGCAACCAGGGCGAGCTCTGAGCTCTCTCGATCTTAATGGATTGGATCCCTATATCCGTCTGTCTCACACTGGAGGCGGTTTTGTCAGCAGCGGGGCTTGAAAATGGGAAATCTGAGGGTTGCCTGTCATGTCATGTCACTATCACATCAATGTATATCTACTTGATCCGTGACGGCGGTTGATGCTGTCACTGTGGATTTCTCATACCAAAAGGCAACTCAGCTACGGATTGTCGGACCCATGACGCTGGGATCTTTGTAGCGGTACTTAAACTCCCCAGCCTCCCGGGCGCATAATTAATCGATCGATCTCATGATTCGCTCCGAGTTTACAACGGCGCGTGTTTGTCAATCTCGTACAAGTCGTGAGCTGAAATTACCGCATGCGGCTATCCGAATCACGATCGTGACCTGAGATGTCTTGAAGACAACGACCTTCAGCCAAACGTATTCAAATCTACCTCTTCAAACATGTTCATACTCTAAGCTGTCATGAGCTGTATGCGACGTTGATGCTCTGCATTAACAGCAGATGAGATATCACACCCTTCATGACAGCAGACAACATCACCAGGCATAAACTGATAGCTCACAAAACACAGCGAACCATGGCTAGACACGTCTCTCATCAAAGTATCATATTTTTTCAAGGCTCGCTCTATCGACAAAAGACAATACTGGCCAACCCTCTATAGTTGGCTCCGTCTGTATCCAAATATCCATACATGGCCAGCCATAGTTTCATTATTTAACTTTTTTTGCATGGACGGCGAAGAATTGACAGTGTGCCGTCTTTTGGCCGTCCTCAAGCGATGTTAATGTTTGTTCGTTCGTTCTCTTTAAGCCTTGTAGCCAGCTTCAACCAAGCTCTCCTTGAGAGCGCTAAGAGCCTTCTCGATGTGGTTTCGGCTAGGGTCAAGCTATTAAAACTATGTTAGCAGGTCATCTCGAGTGAACGAGATCAGATACACTTACAGCACTGACTCCCATATGGCCGAATCGGATATACTTAGGAGCAATAGCCTTGTGAATACCACCAGCAAAGACGACACCCTTGGCAGCCAACTTGGGCAGAACATCGGCAGCGCCAATCCCATCGGGCAGGTAAATAGCAGTCATGGCGTGAGCCTGGTCCTCGGGCTTTGTAGCAACGACCTTCAGGCCCAGATCGGTAACAGCCTTCTTGACCTTGTTGGAAACCTCGATGTGGCCCTGGAATCGCTCGGACAGGGGCTTGGTGAAGATCTGAGTGAGGCCAGTGTGAAGGGCGTGGATGAGCTGAGGAGAAGGAGTAGCGAAATAAGAGGGCTTCTTGGCCTCGTAGTTCTTCATGATGGGTGTCCAGTTCTTCAAGGAGGCGAAGTAAGCGGGAATAGGAGTCTTGCGGTGCTCAAGAGCAGCAGCGACAGCTCGGCCGCTGAAGAATGAGATGGAGAGACCAGCGGGAACGCCAATTGCCTTCTGACTGGCAGTAACAACACCATCCAGACCCCACTCATCGAAAGCGATCTCCTCACAGGCAACACTGCAGACACCATCGACAATAACGAGAGTCTCGGGGGAGACACGCCGGACAGTGGCGGCCAGGTTCTTGAGCTCACTTAGGACACCAGTCGATGTGTCGACGTGGGTGACTGTGAGGATCTTGTACTTCTTCTCGGAAAGGGCCTTCTCGATCTCGGGGAGCTGAGGTCGGCCGCCAACTTCACCGTCGAGTTTGGTAACGTTGGCACCGTAGGCGCGCAGGCAGTCGGCGAAGCCATCACCAAAGTATCCAGTGCTGAGAACGAGGGCGTTCTCACCAGCCTCGACCAGGTTGGCGGCAACAATATCCCATCCCAAGGTACCGGAACCGGAGATGACGTACGGCTGGGCGGAGGGGTCGGTCGATTGGAATAGCTTGCGGGTCAGGGTGAGGGTCTCGCCGAAGGTGTTGACGAAGCCGGGGCCGACGTGGCTCTCACTGTGTGACAAGTATTAGCAAGCGAGATATTATCAATCACATCACGCGAACGTGATCCAAGTCGTATCGTGGCGTACCTGTAGTGGCCCATAGACTTGAGGACCTCATCATCGAACTCAATGGGTCCGGGGATGAGGAGAGTAGCGTGTTCAGGTTGAGAAGACATGGTTGCTGTGGATGTTGAAAGACGACGAGCTTGAGAAGAAACCGAAGCTTGAGCAGGAGGAGTCGCGGTATAAGAAGAAGGCGACAAATGACCTGAGACGAGAGAGATCCTATCGGCCGACGCAGATCCAGAGGCAGCGGCCGAATACGTCTTGAAGCCCGCCGAAGAAGAAGGGGGGCTCTCGGCGGACAGCTCCGGAGCGCGGGGCACTTTTCTCCCCTCCATTGCAAGTGCCGATCTTAACAGACTACGACTGGCTACTGCGCCTACCCCCACTGCCACGGACGACAACCGCTGAAGGGGCGCCAGATTGACTGCCTGAGGCCTTCTGAAAGGGAGTTTTTTTGCGGTACCGCAAGCAAAGGAGCCTACGCAACGGAAGAAGGCCGAGAGGATAGAGAACGTCGGTAGGCTTCCGATTCGGGGCACAGAAGCCGGGTTTTTCGGGTCTATGAAGCACCGAGATATGAACTTCACGCGACCAATGGCTTTTTAAGCAGTAAAAAGACGATTTTGAGGATGTTGAATCAGAGTTATATGAATTGCCTCAGGGGAAAGGAAGAGTGAACTTCGCCTAGGGAATACGCTGAGTGTACTGACTCTAGCTTTGGAATCCCCTGTCTTCCGTCCCCGTTTTTTGCTTCTTTCAGCACAGCGAACGGAGCTTTCTCAGTGTCATGTCCAGGTTAGCTTGGGTTGTGCGAGGCCGCTACCGGAGCGAGAGGTTTTAATTGAGTGGACGATGATTCGGCCATCTCTCGGGATCTTGAACCGATTTAAATCGAACCGATAGATTTATATGGAAGCGTTGCCGCTGGTTCGGGGAAATAGAATATCGAATGGTGTGAATTATCATGATGGAGTTGCGAGCGCTCTACGGGAAGGGTCCCGATCTGAGAAGTAACAGAATAACAAACAGTGGACCGAACATGATCAATAGCCACCACCAGTTCTAGGAAGACCATCAAGCAATGCCTTTATAAAACTCAAACAACTTCTCTGCGCCGTCTTCCCATTGAACATCATTCTGTAAATGATGTCCTGCTCCCTCGACGAATCGTAATCTTACACCGTCTCGCTTAGCAGTTCCAGCCTCACGATAAAATGTCGCTGTCTTCTCCGTCACAGGACCAGTCATCAGCTTATCTTGAGTACCTGCCATGACAAGTACCTTTTCACCACTGGCGCCATCATTACGGATATGGTTCAAGATGTTTGATGGCGATGTGAAGCTGTACATCATGCTAAAAGGCCACAGGTAACTCTCGTAGCGGTTCATGTGACGTTGGAACGGGATGACGGCTGAGAGAGGAAACTTGTCGCCAAAGAAAGCTCTTTGAGTGAGCTTTGGGTGGGATAGCGGTGAATTGGAGTGCCAGAGATGGAAGATCATTCGGATGGTGAACCATGGATCCATCTTCCACCAATTCATGTACACGCCTATTCTATGACTGTGTTAGTGGCCTGGCAAGAGCTTCGAGATACGTGTTTATCTTGACTCACGATCCAAATCCTGGGACTGCACCCAGCAAAGCAAGTGCTTTCACATTCGCTACCCCGTCGCTAAGAACGTCTTGGCTCAAACCACCACCACTTGAATGTCCAACAAGCATAACCTCACTCTCTTCCCTGATCTGCACCCACTCTATAGCCGCAACGAGGTCGGAAGCCAAAGCACTTCGAGGCGTTGCAAAGACCATGCGGAAATACGATGGATGCCATGATTCGCCGTGGCCGCGCAACGAAACGGCATAGCATTGAACACCACGTGCTGCCAGATACTGCATGTATTCTGTCCATACCCATGCGCAGCCCATGCCGCCGTGGCAGAAGACTATGGGAGGGCCATTGAACTTCTTGGTGATGGAGGGGGTGTTGGAGAGAACTTCGATTCGGCCTTGGGGTGTGTTTACCCAGTGACGTTCGAGGCCTTGAGGGATTGGAGATGGAGGTCCTGAAGGTCGAGTATAGTGAAGCCACTGGTAGCTGAGATGGAAGCCGAACATTGGTGGTTGTCTAGTGGTAAGACTATTAGACTGTGTATGTCGGGTTTGTTGGTGTTCGTGTTAGTGTAAGTGAGTATGACGGTTCAATGCAGGGTGTCGCTCCCCTCTTATACAAATCCAACCAACCAACCACAAAAGGTTACAAACAAGCTTAAAATAAGTCCAAACAGCGAGGGCCCTTTCTTCCGCAAAGATCTTGTTTGTTGCACATGCAAAAGCTCAGCCTGCAAGCCACCAACCTAGCCCATATGCTTCGGTCTTCAGCCGCTCGTTAGCTTGATCCATCCACAAAGCAACTCATCGGGAGAATCAGGAATGAGAATGTGAATGCCTAGTAATTTCGTGTCTCGCGGTCTACAGAATTGTTTCTTGCTGAGTGGCTTCTTCGGTTAGGCCAAAGGGAGTAACGAGTCCGCCGTCACGGGTTGAGATGTCGGTCAAAGACAATATGAGTCAATGTCTTCTACCATTACAAGGTCATGATAGGCTATTTTTAAACATAAATCGGTATGGGTACGTCTTTTGCAACGTTGTATCATACGGCTTGCATAGGATTCAAGACCAGCTTCAATCAATGCCTCGAATCACAGTTCGCCTTGACTCAATACGATCTGTTTCGTGGACCATTTTCGTATCACAAGCAATAACCGGACTTTGAATTGACATCAAAGATCTTGCTAACGCAATCAGGAACAGTAGACGATCAACTCCGCAAGACCAATCGTCTCTTTGATACCCACACGTTCTAGAATACTTCCATTCTCCCCTTTCGGCTTTGAGTTCCTATCAATCCCTACCCCGCTCTCTCAGCGGAAACCTACCCGTCAAGTATGGAGAGCCTCAAGGACGGCACTATTTCGTTCATACATCAATATCACTACCAGTAACCATTTCTGTGCCTCTTTGTGTTTTTATTTCAAGGTGATGTCATCGTCTACAAGAGCTAATCCTACAAGACCAAATAATGCCAGGAAACGTGTTCCCAAAGCGTATGTTCTTATCTCAATCGCAGATTCAACCTAACTGATGAATTATCAGTTGTGTAAGATGTCGAGATCAGAAGATTAGATGTTCTGGATCACAGCCATGTCAACAATGCGATAAGAGGGGATCGGTGTGTCAATTCGATGACGAATCTCGCAAGGTTGTTGTTTCGAGAGGGTAAGTTGATGCCAGGAACTGTTGATGGAATCATACTCAAACATCTCATCCAGGTATATCAACCGGCTTCAAGAGAGGTTGGCAGCTCTAGAGAGCAAGTCAGACCAACAGGTTGTCCTGGAGAATACAATTGGTTGTTCAAAGAGCCCCGATTTGAGTAAGTCTCTGTTGGTCTCGAATTGACCTTATATACTAAGAGAGCCAGGCGATCGTGTACCGCTATCTGTTGAAAGCAACGAGATCTCAGAACAAGTGACAAAGACTTCAACCTCAATATCACCATATGGACCAACCGAAGCACTAGATCAACAGCCCAATGGCGAAGGCAAAGCTCCTCTCACCAATCCCTTGGCCTTCCACACGTATGACTTTGTTCCCAGCATCACAGGGCACATTCGTGAGTCCATACCTATTCCCCATTATATTTCTTATCTCACTCAGAGTTAACTTATCGTCAGTCTTCATGGGGACTTCATCGAATTGGTCCTTTAACAAGAGAGTCCTGACCATGACACACGAACGTGTCAAGGGCCGTCCATTACCAATGCACAATTTGCACTTTGCCGGTACTGAAGGAAAAGTTTTCGATCTGAGGTGGGATGGAACGAGAAAACTTACAGCGCAGGACGCTCCCGACATGTCTTCCCTGCCAACTAAGGACTTTGCGCTTTATCTCATCAACTCAGTCAAGTTTCACTGCGGTTGGTTATATAGCCTATTCGATGAGGACATCTTCATGGAACGCTTCCGTTTGTTCCATGAGAACCCTGCCGAATATGCGCGCGCAGAACCTTTGTGGTTCCTTCACTACCTTCTCGTCCTGGCGTTTGGGAAGGCCTTTGTGGTTCAATCGACCAAGTCGCGACGGCCTCCTGGCGGTGACTTCTTCATACAAGCTATGAAGCTCATGCCCGATTTCAATTTCTTTGACTGTGATATTATAGAAGAGATGCAAGTTCTCTGTTGCGCTGCTCTCTATTTGCAATCTGTGGACCACATACAGCAGGCATATCGTCTCGTAAGCCACTGGCCCCTTCAAAACATGCATAGCAACTAATGGTGTCAGGTCTGCGCTGCGCTTCGTCATGGCCTAGAACACGGAATACACACCGAGATGCAGTCCGGTGCTCTTGACGTAGCTTATGTGCAGAGAAGTCGACACATGTTCTGGACGCTCTATATTCTCGAACGCCAGCTGATTTCACTTCTGGGACTTCCGCTGAGCATAGCCGACGAGACGATAAGCGCACGCTTTCCCGACTTTCCAGGACAGCCGCAAAAGCTAGAGGCTTTGAAGATACATGTTGACTTCTGCAGAGTCCTCGCAAAGATAAATCAGAGTGCGTATTCTTGAGTCGGATAGAGATTGCCGCTGACAAGTGTAGCTGTCTATGGGCTTGAAGGAAAACTCGACAGTCGATACCTCGGTGCTACCCAGTCTGTTCTTATGAGTATCGCTACGGTGACTGAACGATTGAACAAGTCGTTTGAGATCCAGGCAAGTGAGGGTATGGCTGGCATTTCACGAATATCGGCACATCTCCATTTGATGCAACATCAAGTAGGCTCATCCATCTCGTTCTGACTATCCACTTCTAACATAACAAAGTGTATCATTCTCACCACAAGACCGCTTCTTTATACCTTCCTCCTTTCAAGGCTTGGTCACCTAGAGGTAGCTTTAATGCATTGGCTACAATCAGAGAGTGTGAAAGGGCTAGTCCAAATGTGCACCGAGTCCGCTCAGCAGATTCTGAGGATCCTTTCCAGTCTTTCTGAGCAAGGGCTTTTAGGTCAGTCCACCGTCTCTCAACATCTAATCTTGTTACTTATGACGTTGTGCAGAAACGTTTTTGCGCTTCGACCAAGACGCTGCTTTTACTGCTACAATAGCACTACTCATGGCCGCTGCAATCGACTCATCTCTACTACCGGACCATACTCCTTGGACGCAACGCGCCTACACTCTTTTCGACGAGATGAACTCGAGAGGCAACCTCGTAGCCAATATGGTGGCATCTGAACTGAAGCAATTGGAAGATTTGCTCAGAGGCTTCCTCGTCAACAGCGACTCAAGACCTATGGTTGCGACACAAGGTTCGAACACGCCACGACAGGGTTTCATGAATGACATAGACAATAGCACAGGCTCCGTCACTGATTATGCGGAGCCATTTAGTCTTGAGTCAGATGATGGCTTTGGATTGGGGCTTAACTATGAGCTTAGTGCGGAACAGTTGTTGAATATCGCCAATTCGCTGGATATTGATAGCTTGACATGGCCATGGCCGGAGGACCCGATGCCTGAAGATGTGGATCGGGCATGAGGATCTGAAAGTCCAATGTTAATATAAACAGATAACTAAGGGTCACCATCGGTCCCCTTGTATCACTTGGCAGCATGTTCGGTTCTCTTCTGTCCATCAGAGTTAACAGTTAAAGTGAAGTTTCGTCCTGTTACCATCCTTCTTTCTGACCAGTCCTTTTCTGCTTCGCCAGAGCGAAACAGGCTTCCAAATCGTGAGTTAAGTCGGTGTTATACCAGTCTCTCTCTCAAACCAGCCACGTTAGCTTTGGTAATGGAATGGTTTTCTGCTTCCATACATAAATCACGAGCACATCACTAAAGATCAAGGATATATGTGGGTGAGAGCAATGCGAGAAAACTTTAATAGTCTGTTATGACTTGTTTCCGAAACCTATAGAATACATCCGTACCCAAGGCCCCGACGCCATCATACAACTTTCAAGACATGGTGTTTACCACAGTTGGACATAAGTGAGGAAGCGTCTCCACTTGGGCTTAGCATAGTACTCATCGAGATGCTTTATCTCCTCAACGCTCAAGTGTCGTCGACCGGTGAGACAGTCGGCCGTGGCAGGGTCTCTCCAGGGAGTTCGGAAGATGAGCTTGTATCCAGCAGTGAAGCCAAAAATGACAAGAACACCGATCATGTATTGGAAGAAGTTTGAGGCAGAAAAGCCAGTGCCACCCTGTGGTAAATTTGTTAGATAATTGCCCGTATAGATTGTCATGGGGAGGATCGTTAGGGAGTTGACTTACAACTGGCTTTACTCCGGAGTAGATACAGCAGACCAGCAACATGAGGGAGATTAGCATCAACCATGCTGGTGCAATGGGCCAAGCACTCGATCTCCAAGCATAAGTCTCCGAGAAGAGTTTGTCGTTCTGGGCCTTAAGGGCACAGTGGAATCGGTAGTTGGTGAAGGAAATAATGATCCAGTTTGTGAAGAAGGATGCGCTTGTAATGGAGATGAGCCAGTTCAGGACAGTAAGACCACCAGCTGTAACAACGTTAGTCGTAATTCTCAAAAATTGTGAGGCTTCACTTACAAGAAAGTTGAATGTATCCAAGAACAACAGCAACAACAGAAGTGATGATCAAAGCAAGTCTGGGACGCCCCTTATCATCGACATGTGCAAGACGTGTAGAGATAAGACCCTGATGAGCCATAGTTCGCAGGACTCGTGACGAAAGGTAAACAGACTCGGCAGCGATAGCAAGGACACCACAGATCATTCCAGCGTTGAGAAGCGAAGCGATACCGGGAATTCCAGAGTCTGTAACAGCAATGACAAAGGGTGATGCAGCAACACCACTTCCGCCGAGAAGACGCGGGTCGTTGGAAGGAACGAGGATGGTGATGAAGACGACACTGAGCATGTAGATGAAGTTGACTCGGAAGGGGACGAGCTTGGTTGCGTGAGCAAGGGAGAAGCGTGGGCTCTCGGCTTCACCGCCCATGATACCGATGAAGACTTGATCGCCGACGGCCCAGGTAGCGAGGAGTGCACAGTTGGCGAATCCCTGAAGTTGTTAGCAAGAGTAAATCCAAAAGAGTGTCCTTCAAGACTTACAGAGAAGCCGTTGAGGAACGCTGGTAGATCAGTCCATGTCTCTCCGTGGTGGACATAACCATTAGGACCAGCTCCAAGGACTAAAGCCAAGGAGAGAGTGATGATAATCAAGAAGAGGAAAATCTTGATCAGAGATGTTACGTATTCAAACCAAGCGAAGACGGTGTTCGGTAGGAGGAAGATGACGAGACAGGCGAACATGAAGATGCTGACTATAAAACTTGTTAGATAGATTCAAAAGGGGCAAGATAAATTATAAGTGAAACTCACGAGATGCGGCCAAAGGAAACGAACCCCCAGACCAATATCCTACCAAGATATGGAAGAAACCAGCCTCGGCAGAAACAATAGCAGTCCAACCTATCAACAGTCAGAATACACTTCATAAAATCAAGTTGAGGTATACGAACCAAGCCACTCGGCAAAACCTGCTCCAAAGGCCAAAGCGGGATCAACCCAACGATCAGCATAGTCGATATAGTTTCCTGAAACAGGAAACGCAATAGTCATTTCTGACAACGATTGTAGAACAGCCCAGACACATGTGCATACCATGAAATATGCAATCACCATGTTTCCTGGACCGCCAGTCGCGAGGGCTTTTCCGGTAGCGATGAAGACACCCGAGCCGATATTGGAACCTAGAGCAATAATCTTGAAAAAGATGTGTTAGTAATGTGAGTGATTCTGGTTTATGTGACTTACGTGGACTTGTCGTGGTGTAAAGGATCGATGGAACTGTCCATGTTTGCCCTCCTGCATTTCAATAGCTTGAACTTCATCAATGCTTCTTGAAGCTGCAAGGTCAAGACCATCGTCTTTCGTCATCGAACCGCGGGACTTTTCCATCATCCCAGCTGGAATGTTGACATCGTGAATACTTTCTCGACGCATGATGAAGGATAATGTCAAAGGAATTCAGTCAGGTAAGCTTTTGTACGGATATAAGACCCTGGAGTGGGAGCTTGCTTCTGCTGGGATCCATCTTTTCTGCACGACGGCGATCGTAGGTCTTTATACTACTCTCCTCAGCCAAGGGATCGAGCTTGTCTAGTAGAGTTAGGGGGGCGAAAAACCTGGGGAAATTGATGAACATGACGATCATATCGTGATTGGATTCTACGGGAAAGTATCCGCGAGGCTATCTCTATGTCAAGTATCAAGGGAGGAGGATGAAAGAAAAACAGGCTATCAAAACACTATCAGGCATTTACGACACCCACTGAGTGCTTAAAGTTACCCCGGATTCTACCCCAGCTTCGACTAGACCAGAACGAGCTAGCTTTCGAGCGTCTATCAGTCGAGACTCATCGTAAGGTTGGGAATCATTGGTTAGAGCGGATTCCATGTGATAACAGTTGAGTTTAGCTCTCTCCGTGGCGCTACGGATGTGCTTCCGATGATGAAATCGTTGCTCGGTGTCTTGATCTTATCATGGTTATCTGCCGATGGTGAGGAGAAGCTGAGCCGAGCTAGGCATGGTATCAGTGAGTTGAGCGATAAGCCACTTTTGACTTGAATGAGGAAGGGTACCGCGAGGATGAATTGGGGAAAAGGGCGAGAGTTAGTTAGAGTTCACTTGGCGTCCATTGCCGTGAGGCAATTTCATAACGGTACTCAACGTATTCGATTCAGTATCTGATAAAGACGATAACTCAGCTGTGTTTAGGCAAGTGTTATCAGCTTTCTCGATGTAAAAAGGCAATCCTTTTCTTATCATCACTTCAGCTCGGCGATACTTTGAAGTATGATAACGTCAACTACAGTATCAAGAAGCATTCCGTATCTCATCGGCGCGGGGTTCCGTCTCTTGACATCCCCTGCAATGTCCGAAATCAGGTATTGGAGGCTCAGATACTGTATGTACTTCATGTCATTAGAGGGCGGCTCACGTCCCGGTGGCGTTCTGGAGCAAGCCTAGACCGACCCAGTGGATTGGAACTCGTTCTGATACGATCATTTCCATGTTGCATGAAGCCCACGTGTCAAACACTCACTATTATATGTGTTCAAGATATACAACATACCGCAATATCAGAAGGTTTGGGCATCTGTCGGGTTTCTGTTCTTATTATATCGGGTTAGAAGAGCTGTATTACTTTGATTTAGCCAAATCCTATGAGTTGAGTGGTGGTGACAGATATCTATGTCTGATTTTCTCCGACGCTCAAGTTCAATAAACCGGACAGGAACACCATAGAAATACTCCCCAAAACAATTGCGTGACTCTGAAATACGTCAGATATTCCTTCGACTGTGTAATAATTACTAAATCAGGGTGGTAGCGTGTGCGCGGCCTACCATCCCATCTCAAGCCATGTCCGGGGAACTTGCAACAAATTCGCGGTCTATACATCTGCAGAATATAGTTACCAGTGTTGAATGATAGTTTGAGCCTTTGAGGTTGCCTTAGCCTTCAGAAACACACAGGCACTTGCTCTGTGGCTAATTCTCTCTTGGAAATAGCAGGATCAGATACTTATGTCCTCGAACGGCTGTTTGCATTTTCAAAACCTCTATCCCAAGTAATAGATATACAAAGACAGGCTTAGGGTATCTTAAGATAAACTTGGTTGACTCTTTGGACAGTTCGCTTTCATCTTATAGTTAAAGGTCTCAAGGCTACTTGCACACAGAGGCTATAAAAACATTTACCAACATTTATAAAGTTGATGTGTAGATGGTCGGATCTCCTCTGCGCACGGATTGCGATGTTGACTCGTCGATTACGCATGTCATTGTCAATGTGTTGGCTTGATACATCTCGCCGAGATGTGCTTGTAGTCCTACTTACCATAGCCGGAAAAAACAGGCATTGACTTGTACAGAATTAGAGCAATGAAGTCAAATTCATGGCCAATCAAGTACACTTCTCCAAAGAACAATTTCATTGTTCTGCTAAAATCTCGGCGTGCTGGGCATCAGATGTGACAGCGAGATCACTCTGCTTACCATGGGACAGCCATCCGTCTTGGCCCTGCACGATATCTGGCCAAGACACCAACGTCATCCAAAGATAGAACAGCCAGTTCTCTACCATCTTTTTGACAATAGACACCCAATTCAACGGTGTCTTAACAGCCTGACACCACCATTTTTTACCTCAATTCCCCTGCGTTCCACTGTGATATACCCAGAGTTCAACCGTGAACAGCGGCATCGCCGAGGTGGCCAAAGCACAGCATTACCGTGACATAACCAACGCCCGCAAGAAGCCCCATGCCAAGGACAACCCCACGACCCTTGATTTCTGCCAACTCGTTCATCTTGGCGATTTGGAAAGATGCATTTGTATTCGGTGGGAGAGGTTTCGTTTATAAGGTCAATCCGTGGGGCGAACAGGTCATTAAGCATACCAGCGTTAGTCTTCTGACGACATGATTTGCAGAGGCATTTGCGCCTAGTCGGAGGATCGTGAGGAATACGGCGTAGGTACAGCTACATGCCGCAGGTCGAAAAGTCCTGAGGTGATAGGGGCAACGAGATCGACGAGAGGTCGCGTAACCGAGGCAGATAGGGTAAGGTTCATACTGTACCGTAGGTCGGTAGCGTATGAACAGACTGAAATGTAGCGGTCATCTTGCCCACTGTCTTGGCGTGGGTCTTGGCGGAACTGGGGGTTTATATATGCAACAGCTTACTTGCCCCTTGCTCGACAAGTAACAGCTCGTTATCACCCGTTGCCAAGTGATAAGGGACTAAGACACGCCGCAATAAAATTCTACAGCGCAGAGACATGCCTAGAGCGGAAGGTCAGAGGCCGATTTATCCAACCTGCTGTATTGGGACTAAGGACTCTAGATACGCGTCAAAGCCAGGTATCGTTCTGATTCGACAGTTTCGAAATGCTGGCCTACACGACAGAATTGCTACCCTGTATCGACTTTTTCTCGAATTTGTGCAAGGCTGATTGATTTGCAGCAGATTGCGTCGGAATTCCGATGGATGGTTGCATTTGCGTTATGAGGCTTGATGTATCTCTTGGCTCTGGTAGAGAGCAGGTCTGTGTCAGCTTGCTCGATGAAAAGAGGACATCTTTGAGCAACTGGTACTGTGTAACTTGTCAGTGCAATACACATTGTTAATATCAAGCGAGAATGAGCCCAACACATGCCAGTCAGCACTCGCTGGGTTTGGTCACCATCCAATGTACAATGTAGCACCTGCAGCTAGGGCAATTACACATTGACTTTTGGGATGTCTGGTGTGGCTCATTGAAGGTAAGCTTAATGCTTAAAACAACCCCTGCGGCTCTTCAACCAAATGAAGAATGCGCCGCAGGTTATTGCAGGTAATAATTTTCCTCTCATCGGCCCGTGAAATCGGCTGACTCGGGACGGGTAATGCAAAGGACACTAACAAAAGCTTCCAACTCGGTTATCGATTACCGTTTGATATGGTGACTGTTCTCTTGCTATTACTTGAAGCTGAGTCGTGTGTCTTCATCTAAGTTAACGGACACAAGGTCAGGGGCGACACTTGGTAACGCTGGAACCGGCCTTGCGGGGGCTGCAAGGGTGCCCAGCCGGTCATGTCCGGGCCCGTCATGCCCTTGCTCCATGCTTCAAGTCAAAACAACGGGGCCTCAACAGCGATGGCCACAACAATCTCATCAGAAGAATCGTATTACGTACAAAACTTTGAGCGACTTCCTCAACTGACAGTTGCTGGTGGTTCTGTTCAAGGACGATGGAGCTCTCCCCAGATTCATGGCGATTTGCCCACGGGGTAAGGCAGTTGAGAGCAAACTGTTACGTATTACCCCGTAGTTGAGATTCAAAGTAAGATCTCAGAACCTGGAGTATGAAACGTAATGTACTGTATGTAGGTACATTGAAGTCGAACACTTTCTGGGAAACCCGACTGCCGCGGCGGCAAAAACAACCGCGCACCGCTATCAATAGTGGGAAACCTGGGACCGTTTTGCAACCACGATTTTGCTATTGAATTGGTGTTATCGCAGTCCCTTCCACAAAGATAGCTGATGTCGCACCACGGTGGGAAAGGCCCGGGGTCTGTAAGCTTCGACCAACTCAGCACTCTGTCCTTTCCCTTCATCAACCTCTCACTCGTTCGATCGACGTGTGCTGATGACTGCAGGTCCTTTTTGGTTTCATTAGCGCCAATTGGGAAGCCAAACAGCAAGGTAATGCGCACTTCGTCACTGCGCCACCCTTCTAGAAGAAAGCTATTTTCTCGGCATTCTTTCCCCCCTGTCAGGTCCTGCAAGATGTGGTAGGAGGCGGAAACTAGCCATGTCATACTCTAAAATCACCTGCGAATCGCACGAGTGAAGTGTCGTGAAACCGAGGAATAGCATGAGTGGCCTAAGGGATCAACTCAGGTAGACTCATATCGAACACGAGTTACCAAAAGACTGGCATCAGGTGACAGCATCACCTAAGAGAGCAGGTGGGGGCAGGACGAGATGGGTAATTTGGGTGTCATCGAGACAGATGCCAAGCTGCTTGGAATCATACTGAGCCAGTGTTTCGGTAACAAGAGGCACCCGAAACGGCGTCAAGTTGGTATCTGGCCCGAATACCTAATATGAGAATGTTGATTGGAGGATTCAGCCTTTAATTGCTCCTCTTGTGTCTCCGCAGCGTCTACCACATGGTGTTGGTCACCTATGGACCCCAATCCTCTATGCATCTGTGAGAGGAGGAACAAAAGTTCGTTCTGTGCACACGCGGTTGCATGTGTCTATTGCCGACTGAGAGATTGTAAAAGCTTGGCAGCTGAGGGTATAAAATTGGATGTAAGAAGCATCAAAACACATGGTCCGAGTATCATCATGTGTTGATGATTGCATAAGAGCTTTCGTATGGTAAGAATATCTTTCAGTGAAAGATTACAGAGATAGCAATGGCTTGATCTCGGCTCTTCTCATATGAAACTGAGAAGAATTGAGAAAAAACGAAAGAGGGGCATCATTGCCTTCACCAATGTCAGAAGTGACGATGGGGCAAAGTAAGGTAAGGCAGGTACCTCTTCAATGTACCGGTACCTTCCCTCGGAAGTGGAGTAAGGTTAAGCGTCTTTCAAGGATATCGTTCCTCTCCAATTCTCCACTTTACCTTGAATTAGGTTGATCGTCTTGCATGGCTTGAGCTCTCTCTTGTTTCCCCTGGTCATGCCTACGAAATGTCTCAGAAACAGTCGAGTCTTTCTTACGAGGAGCGATATTGAGCCATGGCGGGTGAAATTGGAAGGTAGAGGTGAGCCTATGGGGTGTAAGGGAGAGGAAATAATCCATGCGCTTTGACGAGGCGGCACGGGAAGCATGGATCGTGGCTGCGACTTGCACAGTCCTTTTGCTGTTGCCTCTTCCCAAATCCCAAATCTCATCCTCATTGCACTCGTCGTTCTTTCCCACGAAACAAGGGGTGTGCATAACCGCGACATCGATATCGAATCTATCAAATCGGAAGCATACTGCCCCTTCCTTCCCTTCGCCCTGTCCTGGTCGCATGTCGGTGATGGACTCCGCTCCGCCATCTGAATCTTTCGACCTACCCCAATCATCCATGTTCCTCCGTATCGCGGCTCTTGGCACTTCGGACCCTCTCTACTCCCATCTCCACTGCGCTTCTACACTTGAAAGTTTCCAACTTGTTGGTGATCGGCGACGTACAGGAAACTAGGGGCCTGCCCATTAGCCTAGTCAAACCTGGGGCCTCACTAGAACTTCGACTCGAACGAATCCATCCTTTCCACTATGGCGGCCGTCTTCGCCTCTAGCGCACCGACTCTAATGAGACCCCGGGTCGTCTTCTCCCTCGTCCAACTTATATTTAAGAAGACTCGTTTCCCACATCGGTGACCGTTGCTTCCGTCCATCACCGTTTCTTCTTCTTCCAAAAGACCAAGGTCACTTGACCTTTCTTAGCATTCTTTATCCCTAGCTCTTCAAGAGTTACCCACAGGGGGAAACGTCAAGATGGAATCAAAGAGTTCCAGCGACAACCCGACAAATGTGTCCCAGGAAAAGGGCACCACCGTCACTGAGCACCCTGGCGATGTCCAGACCGGTGGTGGCTTCGCTTTCCAGGAGGAAAGCAAGTGGACCCGAAATGGTCTCACTCTCGAGTCCTTCCAGCGCCGCAAGTACACTGGTGACAATGAGCTTGATCGTCGTATGAAGCCTCGCCATCTTCAGATGATTGCCATTGGTGGTTCTATTGGTGCTGGTTTCTTCGTCGGTTCAGGAAAGGCCCTTTACACTGGCGTAAGTCGATTCCTGTCTTTGCTGTTTTTGTTTGATACTAACATTGGCTTAAGGGTCCTGGATCTGTTCTCATCGACTTCATCATTATTGGTGCTATGATCTTCAACGTTGGTATGTTACACTTACCTCGCTCCACACTCCCAACCAGGAAACTAACATATGTCTGATAGTCTTCGCTCTCGGTGAACTTGCCGTCATGTATCCCGTGTCCGGTGGTTTCTATATCTACTCATCTCGCTTTATCGATCCTTCTTGGGGTTTCGCCATGGGTTGGAACTATGTCGCACAATGGGCTACCGTCTTACCACTCGAACTGACAATCTGTGCTGTCTGTATTCAATATTGGAATGACGAGCTCTCGCCTGGAATCTTCATTGCAATCTTCCTTGTTGCTATCATTCTCATCAATATCTTTGGTGGTATTGGCTACGCCGAGGAAGAGTTCTGGTCATCTTGTCTCAAGCTCGGAGCTACCGTTGCTTTTATGATCATCTCTCTTGTCCTCGTTTGTGGTGGCGGTCCTTCCAACGGTCGATACAACGAGTACTGGGGCACACGTTACTGGAGAGAGGACCCGGGTGCTTTCAAGAACGGTTTCAAGGGATTCTGCTCTGTCTTCGTCACTGCTGCTTTCTCCTTTGCTGGTACTGAGCTGGTTGGTCTCGCCGCTGCCGAGTCTGAGAACCCCACCAAAGCTCTCCCTGGTGCCATCAAGCAGGTTTTCTGGCGTATTACCCTCTTCTTCGTTCTTGGTCTCTTCTTCATCGGCCTTCTTATCAAGTCCACTGATGACCGACTCAACATTTCCGGTTACTCCAACGCCAAGGCCTCGCCTTTCGTGCTTGTCGGCGAGTACTCCGGCCTTACTGGCCTCGCCCACTTCATGAACGTCATTATCCTTGTCTCTGTTCTTTCTCTTGGTGTGTCTTGCGTTTACGGTGGTTCCCGTACCTTGACTGCCATGGCTCAAAACGGATATGCTCCTAAGGTGTTCGCCTACATTGACCGTGGTGGTCGCCCCCTTGTTTCTGTCGCTGTCCACATTCTCATGGGTTTCATCGCTTTCGTCAACCTTGATCCCAAGGGTGGAGAGATCTTTGACTGGCTCCTGGCTCTTTCTGGTCTCTCGACCCTCTTCACCTGGGGCTCTATCTGCCTTGCTCACATTCGCTTCCGTAAGGCTTGGGCCCGACAGGGTCACACTCTGGATGAAATTCCCTTCAGGGCCGCCTTTGGTGTCGCCGGTTCGTGGGTCAGTCTTTGCCTCATCGTTCTCGTCCTTATTGCTCAGGTAAGTCATCGTCTCTCACATCCAAACAACTATGGTGCTAACAAAGATAATAGTTCTATGTTGCTATTGTTGCTCCTCCTGGTGAATCTGGAATGGGAACCGTCGAGGGATTCTTCATCTCGTACCTCGCCTTCCCTGTTGTCCTTGTCTTCTGGGCTATTGGCTACTTCTGGAAGCGTGAGGGTTGGCTCTCAATCGACAAGATTGATGTTGACACTGGTCGACGTGAGCACAACTGGGACGAGATCAACGCTTACCGTGCCAAGGTTGCCACTTGGCCCGCTTGGCGACGCTTCCTCAACAAGATCATGTAAAGTGGTGGTCTTGTTCCGAAGTTTGTTTCTGTCCTTCGTGCATTAGAAACGTTTTGAATAGAAGCGTATACCATACAACCAATCTTCTGTACATCCATTTATCGTTAGATACCATAATAGCATGATATTGTGCCAAACTGAACATCTATTGCCCTGTACCATGTTTCTCGGTGACGTTGTGAATGAATCCAATGGGTACGTCGTAACAGCAAATTTACTCAAGGGCGTCCCTGTCCTTGTCCTTAGCCAGGATGTTGTGCCAAGAAGTCAGAACTGTTGGTGAGAAGGCGACGGGAAGTTGACTATGGCTGTGACAAAAGCCAGTTTGGTTTGGAGATATTGTACAAGAGCCTTTTATAAGCTTGAAAGAATGAAAACTTTTCTCAAGATGTAGTCAATCGCGCCCTACAATCACTCCAGTATTGACATTGTGTGGAGATGACGCCCTGGGAGCGCGCCCTATGTGTCAATATGGGTAGATGGTGGAGTTTTGGAGATTGCGTCTTCGCTTGAGATAGTCACGTGTGAGCAAGAAGCACTGAATTGAAGCACGTCTTCTACTAGTATCCAGAGTGCTTTGAAGACTTGGTTGAAGCAGATATCTGAGGTTGTGATATTCAGGCTTGTGCACGGCCTAAGCGTTAAGAGACTGCAAGAAGAGACAGAGACAACAACTCGACTGTGCCTGACTTCAATCAAAGCCGAATACCTGATGGAAACGTGAGAGTCCCTCTCCACACCTTTCCTCAATGACAAGAGCCAACGCCAGGTTGCAGCGGGTCTTTTTACGTACAAAGTCAAACACAGATTGAGAAGAGGGAGCAAGATCGTTAACGGCGGGTATTCTGGGGTAATAGGAAATAGAATCCACAGAACGCAACATGCCATAACTCGACTTCACCAAGACTCGTAGTCGTTGAGAGTACGTAACACAATACGGAGAATAGGAGACATAACCATGCTCCCACATCTTGGCCTCCTTGGTTCTCCAAATCGCACCACGACACGACACGGTCTCACAAGCAACTGAGCACCTAAGGTAATTCCCTCAGACAAAGTCACTCAAGTATAGTACATACTCCCCGGAGCATGCACCCCAGAATAGTTCAAGGGCCAGGTCCCACAGGATAAACTAGATAATAAGCGTTTTCAAGGTTAATCTCAAGCGTAGTTATTTGTACGTACTTTTTACATGATGGAAATTGGAGATGATGCGGGGTTGTTATCATTATTGGGGACGTGCGGAGAATGGAATGGGCTGAGGGGTCTTGCAGGCATTGAATATCCTTGGAAGAGAGGAATGTGTGTACACCTTCCAGTTGGGTATTGTTGTTTGCTTCCCCGGGCACCGCCTCAAACCCTGGTTTCAGGGCCGGAAGACCAAGAGTTGTTGTGAATTAGCGTCTTGGATCGTATGGGGCGTGTTGTTTGAACGGTCAAGTCCCGAGGGTTGTTGGTTCTGTGAAAGTTGAAGGAGTGTTGAATTCACATGTTGTGAGGTAGAGCTTGTACAGGAGACATTACCCCAGTAACCCAGGCTCTTTTTGGCATTCTCCAATTCATAACTCCAAATGCCTGATGTTCTCCCGTCTTTCTAGAAGCTTTCTTTGCTTAGCCATCTGTTAAGCACCACCAAAACTTCATCTTATATCAACAACATACGTATCACGACCGCCAAGAACCTTATATCAATGGCAGATCAACCTAATCCACTTCCCCAGACTTCATATCTTGAATTACGAAACAGAATACAAAGATCTCATCTATTACTAAATTGTTTGTGGTAGACAAGGTACATCCCCACGGGGTTCTGCTTCAGCCGTTGCAAGCCGCTGTGCCGAGCACCCCCTTGTGAATGGAGTCTTTTACGCAACAGGAACTTTGCGAAATAAACTCGTGGGCCATCTCGGTGATCGCGATCTTATGGAGCTGAGGTTTTAGGTGAAAGATTCTGGGGAAAGTGGTCACGTAGGGCTGGAGGATGGAGCCGTGATGTAATACAAACGTGGGTGAGGGTATCATGAGGTTTGTGATGAGTGCAGCAGCCTCGTGGAGATTTGTAGCTCAGCAGAGGATTGCAGCACAAGACTACAACTAAGTATGCTTAGTATATTAGTTAACAGCCAGTTGGCCACTATGTGAGATGCAATGCGGAGTGTTTCTTGCCTTGGTTAACCATGGTAATAGCCAGATATATGATCACTATGAGTCACTGTCCCGAGGGTTACTCATACTCTCTCCTTTCTTTCTTGCTTCAGAAGCCATATGACAGTCCGCTCCTTTGTGCCCATGATATTCTTCGAAGGCCAAGCTCTCGGCCCTCGTCTCTGTCGCATAAATGCAACACCTCGACCGCGAAGCCCGAGAAAGCCACTTGAGTCGAGGAAGCCGACCAAGTACTGTTTCTTGAGCTACGTAGGTAACCTTCAAAACTCCCCTCAATGTTAAGCGCATTGCTAATACATTAGAACTTATATACAGAGATATACGCAGTTCTCAATACTGTTTCGTCCCTCCAAACGTGAAAACACAAGCTATTCACTATACTTCTAGAGGGCCAGCTCCTACAATTGATCAAAGAACATTTATGCTTATCTTTTAAGGTTAGTTGAGATAGAGTTTTGGAAGTAGCGTGCTTCCAAAAAGGTTTGCAGTCCCAGAGGCAGGAAGTCAATTGTCACGTGCGGAAGTTCAACGTCTAGGTTGACGTCGCACTTACAAAATGGTCCCAGACAAGCTGAAAATGACCATCAAAGATCATTGCTCATATAGAAATCGACGACCGCTTGATGAGGTTGCTTCCGGACATCCATTTGAGCTGCTTCCGTGATACAAACGTTGTCAATTGAGTTTGCGCGCCTCAACACCACAATCAACTGGTGATGGACAACAAGTGCAAAAAAGACAAAATCGGAAAAAGGAAGTGCTCGTGTTCGAGCGTATGGAAATGCGTAATCTGGGAATCGAACCCAGGGCTCCCCGACGCTGCTCGAATGGCAACGGAGAATTTTACCACTAAACCAATTACGCTAGTTGTTTGATGGAGATCATTGATACAATTAAGGATAATGTGGGTATTCATGTCGGGGGCTCCTCTTTCTTCCAGCTCAGGGTGCAAGTTTGACAAGTCGAGTGCTGTGTTGGTTCATTCGTGGTGTGCAGTAAGGTGGAATATCTTTCTGACCTAAGCCCCATGGGTGCTTTTGTGAATGGTTGAGACCTGTGAGGCCACAAGTGTGCGTCTTTCATTTCCGGGACGATGACAACCAGAACTTCGGGAACTCGAATACAGTTTCATGTGTTTCTCTGTACAGCTTGAGTCAGATGGTTGTGTTGCCGAGAGATAATATACATACGTAGCTATGGTTTTTTTGAACTTGTGAGGGCTGGCCTCGGGTTCAGTCAGGTGGGTGCGGAAACAACCGAACCAACAACCACTTGACAGCCTGGCATTAGGCAAGAGCGTGAGATACTTTAGGATTCTTAGGCCATAAACAGATTAAAATATACATGGCTTAATGATATTCGTCTAGCCGTTTAGTAATGTTTAGTAAGTACGCACTACTGCCGTAATTCCTCTAAAGGATACCGTGGGTTCTGTGGATGAGAAGCAGGATCGCTATGAAGAGGTGTCTCCCATGCTGAGATCCCCGATTGAGTCGTTGATGCAACTGGCTATGGCCTTAATTGTGCGGTTGGTGTACTTCATGGGAAGGTCGCTGAACTCCTTGGGTGCTGAAATGGAGACCTCGGTGTTACTGAAGGCTGCTTCTCCATACCTCAGCTAAGATTGAGCTGCCACAGTATCCAACGAACCGTATATATCACAGAAAAGAACTCGAATTGCGAATATTCCCTGTCCGCGTTTATGTGGGCGCAAAGCGGTTCAGTGGTCGGTGTATCTACACGGATTCTTCACCAAGTTCACTTGTCATTATTCACCATGAACACTACAAAGTATCGCTGTGCCTGTACTCGCCGAATAGTGCATATCACCAAAACGCTGGCTTACTCTTTTGGGCCTTCTGAAAATAGAGAGTGGGGAGTCTGTGTCAGAGCCTGAGAAGAGAGAGTTACCCAAGTATGTGGGCACCATGATCAGTCTCACCAGAGCGGAACTCATCGTTCTCATGGACTCGGGTTGTTAGAAACCACCTGCTCCGCAAACAGTAAATTCCAATTCTTAATAGTTCCTCGTCATGTTAAGTCACATTTGTCGATATCTTGTACATGTACAGTCGGCTTCGTGATCCATCCTTGTTTACACGGAAATGGTCTATATGTCATCTCATCCATTAGAACTTTGCAGGCATTCAAGTGGATCTTTTATCGCTATTGTAAAGTCAGAGAAATTTAACCCTACATGTGAATATTATGCCAACTTTACTCCTTGACTCAGAAAACTCAGTGCCTGTCGTCTCGGTTCCGTCTGTCTTAGTCTTACAAAGACAAGTCGGTGAAGCCGCAGAGCCTGTTCAGATAATAAAGATGGGTTTCTACAACAGCCTCTGTCCTAACTGATAGTTTTCTCTTTCAGTGAACCTGATATCATGGAAGTAGTTACTGCACTAACACTGGACAAACAATATGGGCTTGGGATGTGCCTAGCTCACAAATAGAGGAACAATACCATTGAGACTACACAACCGTCGAACATACTTCCCCCTCCCTCTTTTTTTTTACGGATGATTGACGAGAATCTTTGGTCCTTTCATCGATTTCATCAACCCGATGGTTCGGTGTATGCACATCAGGTCCTTTAAGCTAGAAGCCACAGAACTTACATGCCTGAACAACTACTTGGGACGGTACTTGCAAATCACTTGCGGAATCACAGAGCTTCACATTTAGCTAATTATCTTGTTCTTGTAGCGTAGCCACGGGCCAAAAGTTGTGAGTGAACATTGGCACTGCCATGTTGTAAGTGCTGGGCGTGAGTATGGGACTGTGAGCATGTAACAGACATGGGGAAATTCCCGGGCTCTCTTGTGAAAAAGAACCACAAGGCCATTCATTACTATTATAACTTATAGATATTACGAGAAGTCAAGTAAATATCATTGCAGTTTAGAGTTCAGAACCCACAGGTTTAGGCTAGACTATAGTTATAAGTACTTCCATATCAACGTAACAAGAAGCCACCAGAGCAAACAATCCGTTACACACACAACATCGAGAGAAAGAAAAGCTTCGAGAATTGCCTGAATGTAACGTCAATTTCGTATCAATGATTATCGTAATACGAAATTTGCAGTAAAAGTTTCTCGTAAATGGCGATTACGCAAGCCACGTTACGAACACTTGTCCTACGGAGTGAATCCGAGACCTTTGTTGGCACACACACAACGGCCAAGCCAACGACGTTAAAAGAAGGACAATACAAACAAATCAGACAAAGAGAATTCACCTACTCTATTCCAATTCGAGTGTTGAATAGTTATTGTCGTCAGGTCTTGGTTGTCAATAAATACAAACACCAACCAAAATACATAAGGTACAGCAGGGGTGCACGTGATAAGAATGACCACGGCCTATTTCTCTATCGCAACTCGTCCTCTTCCAACATTATCGCACGTCTCAACCTTCAGCTCCCCTCCTATGGAATCGTCACCTCTTACTCGCCAGCCTCAGCCCGAGGTCTTTACCCCCAAGATCATCCAGCTCTACGATTCTCTCTTCAAGGTAACCCTTTGTCCTCCTCTATCCTCTAGTCCATCATGAACTAAATCCAACTGCAGGTAGATATCCGCAACCGCCGAAACTTATGCGCCCGCCTCGACTGATCGCCCTTGCTCGAATTAGGATGATTACGACGATGAAGAGAAGACGGATGGCTTCTGGACAGAGTTTTTCCTCCTCAGACCCGATCGTGCCGCCCTGAGACGTATCCTTAACGAGTTGAGCCCGAGCCATGTCTTGTCTCTCGATGTGCGGACACAGGAGCTCTTTGCGAGGGGTATAGCTGCGCTGAAGGGTTCGCATACCCTTGCACAGTTGCACGCGCTGGATGTGAGTCGTATGCGGTCGCAATGCAGTGCGCGAATTGGTCCTAACACGCGATAGACGCTCAGTGTCTTTCTATCATGCCTCCTCTCCAAACGATACCCACACCCCAGCTCCGACATCATGGTTCTTCTCGCAGGACTTGACCAAATCGATGCTGTCTTTACCGACTTCGTCAGCGCTGTGGAGGCTATAATAAGGAATAGCAAAGAGTGTAAGGCTCAGCAGATATCCAGAGGTGGCTCAACTGACACGGAGCAGTGGAGGTTCGATATAAAGCAGTTGAAGTGCTATTGGCAGTGACAGCTGGAGCGTACCAAACAACACTGTTGACATATCTGATCCAAAGAGATCTCTTCCCTGCGGTCATGAAGGTATGCAGCACTCTACAAAACAAATGGTTCTTAACTAACAATGCTAGTTCATCCAAGACGCAGAAACATCAGATCAAGTCCTGCAACCCTTCACATTACTAGGTCTCCTAGCAAACTACAACAAATTCGAGTTCCAGAATCCTTATCAGCAAAGATTAAACGACTTTGTCAACGAAGCTGTGATTCAAAAGATCGTAGGCGCAGTGGGACAAGCGTGTCAGACAGTTCGGTCTCGATATATCACGATCCAGGATGATCTTCCTGAAGGCTGGACCTTCAGCGCTACTCTCAACATGATTGGACTCGGCGCGATTGCTCCTGGGCCAAAACCTGTGAAGAAGCCTGTGTATGATGTTGAGACTGCTAAATCTCTCTTCACCAAGCTGTAAGATGAGCAACTCCTGACTCTTCTCCCCACTCAACTGACATCCTATTAGACCTGAGGAAGAAGCCGCTGTTCTTTTAGCAACATACGACTTTACCCACGCCAACAAGCTCTTCTGCTTCAACCTAGTAACACAGGCAGCTGAACCAGGCGCTGAGCAACCTATCGCCAGCTACGTCTCTCTCACTTCGTATCTCCTCCAACACGCCTACCTCTCACCCCGCGCCACATACTACGCCCACCTCAACCTAATGGTCTTCCGTCTCCTGATCGAAGATCCCACAATCTGCAAGCGTATATGCAGTGATGAATCCCGCGTCGCAGTGCGTCTGTGTCGACAACGACAGCCTTACCTCCCCCTTGTCAAAGGCGAGCGAGTCCTCGCCATTTCACTTCTTGACACTATGATTGACGGTGTGAATCATAACCTTCGTCGTCGTCTTGATGTCAGTCTTTACACACTCTGCTTTGGCATCATGCTTCGTATTATCTCATATCTCTCTCGTACCCGCACACGGCTTGAGTATCATTGGCCTGAGTTCTTCCGGTCTTTGCTCTCCATTGTTCGCTTTTTGGCTACATACACAGCTGATCTGAAGGATCTACCACATATCGACACCCTTCTCGACCACGTTGTTAACCTCATCGCCCTGTCCCTCTCCGCTGGTGAAGCCTTCCTCCCTTCGCCAGCAGACTACGATGATCTGTTCTACAAGGTCGTCGAGTCCGGCGAGGTTCTCACCAAGTTCAAAGAGAACTACCGCCTGGGTAACCGTAACAGCAACTCCATTGATACACTTATCAACGTTAGTGCGCATTACAACCAGATGCTTTCAGAAGGTGGTGCGAATCGTCGTAAGCCTAGTCTTTTGACGACGCAGGAGGTCACGGAGGTTATTCGTCAGGGCTACGAGACGTTGAGTATTCAAGCGAAGGAGGGACTAGATTCATGGGAGAGGTACCGGGAGGCGGATGAGAGGACCTTGCTCAAGAAGATGGCGAGAGCAGCTGTTGGTGATGTGCGTGTTATGGTTGAGCGGTAGATTGCATAGTTGATAGTCTAATGTCATCATGAGGCGGTTCAGACTGAACTATGAGAAGTACATACACCTGCATCTCCAGGCTGATACTATCCTGCTACCCTATTGCCCTTACATGAATGTTTTGTCTGCTGGACAGCATCTCACAAGATAAGCTAGGCACATGGAACTCCTTGCTGAGTCTCAACGATCACTATCGCCATCAACTCGAGTCCCAGAACTCAACCGAGTCATGTAGCCTTTTATGACTCCAAAAACGTCATAGCCTCATCCTTTGCTCTCCCATGACCCCTTGTCCAAGCATCTTCCCTATCAACACTTCATTACGAACACGCTACACACAATCTCATAGAACCCTGATCCTTCAAACGACATTACGCAGAAGATCGGCTAGTTCGGCTGTTCTCCACGCAGCGTCGCAGCACTTAATATATAGTATCTCGAGCTTTGTCCATCTCTGAGCCTCCACCTACTCACTAGCCATTTCAAGATACCAGATCGTAGTTCATTCAAGTTCATCACGACCCAATCTCTTGGTAAATGGAATCGAGATTATCTTGCATTGACAGATTGACCATGTGCCGAGGTCTAGTCTCTCTGGCAGCTGAATTACGTCTTATGGCAGAGTTAGTTCTCAGCTGCGACTATTGTCAAACCGGATTCTCAACTGCTCAAACAGTTAACTCATCTCTCTTGAAACACGTCGAGTCACCGTAAAGCCAGACTAATTCCATAGCACGAACCACAAAACAATCAAGTCCGCTCGTCCCGCCGCAGGCGAGAGTTGAAAGTGTCGCACTAAGCCTCTTGACAGGAGACAAGGGTATGTAACCACGTGGACGGGACAGATGAAAAAAGGTCCTTCCTCGTAGGCCTCACTAATGCAATTCACTGGAGAATTTGGTGAAGCTGATACAATTCTTCACCAAAAGATGAGATAGGCTCATCAGAATTGTATCTGCACCACCAACAATGTAACCATGTTTTAAGTTATAGAGGGGACAACATGGGCAGTTTCGTGGTATCGGTATCACGGGGACGCCGTTGATCCCTGGGTATTGTTGGATCCGGTTCCGAGGAGAGGGGAGGGTGTGTGCGATGTGATATCTCATCTTTTCTCCCTTCCTTTCGCTTGATGAATTGGTTGATTCCGACAACACGGTGGCGAGACGAGGCTCCCATGCTTGGCTTATTGCTTGGTGCCACAGGCTTGACTACCCGGAATCTCGAGAGAATCTAGCCTAGCTTCACTTGAGCCATGAGGGTTCTCTCATTTCGTCTGTTGATCGGCTCTTGGTCAAGCTAAAATCGTAATCGTCGTGATCCTGAAACCATTCTCTTTCGTTAATCTTCGGTCATATCCTTTGCCGAAGTTAAAGCTCCAATTCGCTGTCTGAACAATTCAAACAATGTCTCAGACCCTCTCAGAGCGGTATTCCGTTTCTCATATGCATGCTAATGCAGAAAGGGCTTATCCGTTAGCACTGCTGCGTTACCATTGCTACCAGTAAAAAGCAAAAGGTCTTTGATGTTCAGGGTCCTCTTTCAAGCCCAATGAACCCAATCTGTCCCGCGTTATAGCACTAAGTGGCCCTATTTGAGCGATCTATCCTACTGTAACCTCAGCGTTCCCAATTCGAGAGCTTCTCAAAGTCGATCATCATGTAACAGGCGGGGTGTGGCGTGTATGGTGTGGTGTAATTTACCAGGCAACAGTTATCGTATCCTTACCCTGTCCATTATAAAATAATCCTCGTCTCGGCAAGGTAACATAAATGGGGAAGCGGTCGAGACGGTTGTAGTTGGTGAACCGAAGAAACTATGCCCAAGATGGTACGGCGTCTGGCTGGAATTGGTCCGGATTGAACGGCTAGATTCCCGCCTACTTTGACAGGCCCGCAAAGGCAACTGAAGTGAAGGTACCGTAGGATTTGAGGATGAGGACAAGGACAAGGCTGGCCTCGCTCGGCGCTTTTGAGTTGAACAAGAGCTAAGGCGGGGATGACACAGATCGCCAAAGAGCTCTTGTGAGTTGACATTCGGTGAACCAAGTTTGTTAGAGTTAAAGAGAATCACAGTCGAGAATGAATTGATGTCGCATTTGACATCCTTCACTTGTCAAGCAGGTGTTGTGAAGTCATTATTGTTACAACGCTAGAACGCTATTTTGTTCATCGAGTCAGTCATCGAGTCCAATACTCATCTGCCGAGGCATTGATACTCAGAGTCAATAGACTGTTGTCTCACTTCATCTTGTCTCTCGCCTCGCCTTACTTTTGGTGCCTCAATTCAGATGCCTCTTCTGAGAAGAGTAGGGCCGTGTTGCGTCCGGGGTGCTTCAACGGTCAGGATGAGGCGTTTCTAGCGCCGGCATGTCTCTCTTCTGCTGGAACTTCGGAGTCGCACCAATCAATCAAGGGGAAGATTGACCCAGCGATCCATTGTAAAGTAAGCATACGAAGCCAAGAAACGGGGCCTTGAGGCGATTGTGACAGATAACAAATATTTGCACTTTTGCTTGTTGTTATGTGAGATGTGCCGTATCAATACAATAGCCTGAAGACAGTCTCAATCTCATGGCTTAGCTGAAATGACGAACTAGACCTGGCTGCAGTTAGCATAGAATGCAAGTCAACCTGTGTGTGATATGATATGGTTAATCAATAACCGCTGTGCTATACTATGCAGTGCGATGTGATAGACGTACAGCCTATACGGCCTCATCACTTTTTGCCTCCCAGTACTGCAGCTTACATGATATTCCATCAGTCATGCATATGCCTCATCTCCACACCGGAGAGACCCAAGTGCTGTATGTAATCGAGGCACAATAGAGCACACGTAATGCAACCGGCGGAGCATCGTATCGAGTAGACAGACACATGTACATGTCTCGATCGAGCATTGTGCTTGTGACATGACATGACATGGCATGAGAAGCTCCAAAGTCAACTGAACTGGTTTGACTCGTCTTCAAGGATGATGCTTCCAGTGTTTGAATAGCATGACAGCCGATATCTTTCCCCATGTGCCAAATGACGTGATGCTGCTGCTGAAACAGAAGAGAGTTGGGATATCCTGGCTGATAATCGATGAGCCCGTACCCAAGCTGACTCGGAATTCCCATGAGGATTCTCAGCATCCATAGAGGAAAAGATCTGAGGTGGGGTGTGTAGCCTCTCTCCGTCTCCAACTGCCAAGGATTCCATACGATGCGATGCGATGTGATGCAGGGAAATCCTCTCTTGCTTGAGGCCATTCCCACCTTTTCCCATGTTCCCCAGTTTATCAAATCCATGGGGAAATGTCACCTCATTTTCTCTCTGATCTGCTTGACTCTGGCCTCTCTGTAGGTCCCTCTCTTCGGCCATCAGAGTCACATCATATCATATTCCCTCAATTCAAACTTCACATGCACAGGATGCCATTGAGAAAGTGACAACTCCCCTGCATCCACACATCAATGCAGGAACCCGACCAAGCATGCGCCAATGAGGTCAAATTTTGCCTGTTAGTCCAACAATGTCTCATCTCTTACCCTGAAAAAACGCGCTTGACGCGTACAGGCGCGGGATTTCTTATGAATCATGATTCCTACACCGCAAGAGTCCATCATGTCATGGCAGCAACTGCATGAAAAGAAGACTTAGCGTGCATTGTCCAACTGCGAGACCGTTGAATGTCTTGACAGTAGAACGGTCCGCGCGTCTCCCTTGCGTATTTGGTAAAGATACCCCACGTGGAGACACAACGGTCAGTCGCAAAAAGGAATAAATATACGGCATGGTATAGCAAGAATCCTTGCTCCTTGCCCTTTTGCACATGGCCCTGGCGCTCCTACAGTAGCGATGTAGCATTGAAGAGTTACACTAGCCGGTGCGTTCCTCCGTAGAACCTTGATCCTGGTGTTGACAATGGTGCCCAAGAGTACAGTTGAGTGGTGTAGCTTCTGGAGATTGTAAGGGAATCGGTGACAGGTAAATGGATTGGATGATCATGACACCTGCAGATCAATATAGAGTCATCGCCAATCGGTCCTGATGGATATCGGAGTTGCGATCGTCAGATTGACCGACTCGAAAGCATTCTTTTGCGTATGCCCTGTGACAATGTATGTTAGGGATTCGCAGTCATCGTGACAGTCCAACAAACGTGCGCTCCTATTTCTCATGATATGGTCAGCAGCACCCAAAAAGTCGTATGACAGCAATTGATTCAATCATACGCTGTGTCGTGTAATAGAAGCCGTTCCTTGACCGTTCTTCTCTGAGTGTAACACCATAAACTGACAAAGTTCGGAGTTTGTATTCTATTGCTCCAGGGTAGTCGTTAGCTGGGTGACAACCACCCTCATTTGTCAAAAAACAAATATCGAGTCTCGTTGCGAAGTCGGAGACCCAAGCCCAAAAGTTTTGTTCATATGATAGCAATAATTCCACTGCAAACAGGATCGAGTGTCTGGTGGAGAGCATCCAAGGCTGTAAATTCAGGACTGATTGTGATGATCATCATCAACGTAACAACCCTAAGATCCAAGTTTCTTATAGAGGAGATGAGGCCTAGTAGAACGGTTAGACTACAAGTCCAACTCGTGACTTTTCTTCACCTGAAAGTTACGGTATATCATATGAGAGGCTGTATAGAGCAACATCGTCTGGGGTTAGATCCACTTGGGCGACAAGCATCGGCCATAAAATCGATGCTATGGTCAATCTTGCCCCAAAATTGCCGTGCGGGGATTGCTTTGAAGACAATTGCTAAGCACCACGAGAGTCGATCATGGCGAGCTTTCAGAAGTCTCAGAATCTCGGAACGTAGCTCGGGTAATGGACATCTACGCCCGCCATAGTAAAGGTGTGTGTAGAGGCAGCTTCATAGTCCGCTCCATAAAGTTCTCGAGACGCTTTGCGAGCCTTCATGACTGGTCAACAAAGTTCATAGCATTATCGTATATTCAAACATCACCTCATTATGGGTTGATGCCAGTCTTAACGTGCCTGGACCATCCTCGAAGGAGCTTGGCTTTCTGAGTGTAGCTTCCGAACAGCCC